AATATATGCACACATATCTACTGTGCATCTTTCTCTGTGCCCTAAGCTGGAGATACAGCAGTAAATTGACATAAAAAACCTTTCTGGTGGAGCTTACATACTAGTGCAAAAGAGACAATCACATGATCTCACTCATTTATGGAATATAATGAACAACATAAACTGATGAACAAAAACAGATCCAGAGACAGAGAAGCATCGATCAGACCGTCAGACCTCAGAGGGAAGGAGGGGAGGGTGGGGGAAAGGGGGAGAGATCAACCAAAGGACTGGTATGCGTGCATATATAAGCCTAACCAATGGACACAGACAACTGGGGGGTGAGGGCATGAGTGGAGGGTTGGGGGGTAATGGGGGGATAAGGACCCATATGTAATAACTTAATCAATAAAGAAATTTTAAAAAAGAGACAATTGCCAAACCGGTTTGGCTCAGTGGATAGAGCGTCGGCCTGTGGACGCAAGGGTCCCAGGTTTGATTTCGGTCAAGGGCATGTACCTTGGTTGCGGGCACATCCCCAATTGGGGGGTGTGCAGGAGGCAGCTGGTTGATGTTTCTCTCTCATCGATGTTTCTAACTGTCTATCCCTTTCCCGTCTTCTCTGTAGAAAATCAATAAAATATATTAAAAAAAAAAGAGAGAGAGAGACAATCAACAATTTTGTAGAACACGTGCATCTAAGGAATAAGAATTAAGCAGAGAAGAAGGAGCTAAAAGGAGGTGGGGGGATGTGATGATTTAAAAGATAGTGAAAGATGGATCAGTGGATAGAGCACCGTCCTGCAGACTGAAGGGTCCCAGGCTAGATTCCAATCGAGGGCACATGCCCAGGTTACAGGCTCAATCCCTAGCAGGGGGCATGTAGGAGACAGCCAATCAATGATTCTCTCTCATTATTGATGTTTCTCTCTCTCTCTCTCTCTCTCTCTCTCTCTCTCTCTCTCTCTCTCTCTCCTCCCTTCCCCTCTGAAATCAATAAATATGTATTTTAAAAAAGGTGGTAGTGAGCAAAGCCTGGCATATTGCAAACTGGGTGGATTTACCAAAATGGTTTAATAAGACCGTTCTTAAACTATCTGTGCTCAAGTAGGGATTTATAAGCAAAATTACCCTGACTCGCCTGTCAACCAGCACCACCCATGAATCTTCTCTCAACCCTCAAATTTCCTGGGGATGGCAGGGTAGCATCTAGGTCTCAGCTCTCAGGACTAGACTTGATAGGAAACACTGTATAAAGTCAATCATGTCTTCCCTCAATTCCAGTTCTTCTTCTCCATTTTCTTTTCCTTTTCTTTCTTTCTCCTTTCTCCGTTTCTTTCCAAGATGCAGTTAGGAACTAAAGTCCAAAAGTGCTATGCTATGTAAGGGTCATTTGGCTGACAGTTTGGGTAAAAAAGATTCTGATCAGAATTGGGCAGCAACGGGAAGCTGCCAGTTTTTTTTCCTTCATCTACTGGATAAATTATGAACATTAAACACACACACACACACACACACACACACACACACACACACACTAACTACAAGAAGCAATCTGCTCCAGTTGATAAAGGAATATGTAAGTGCCTTTGATCAAAGCTCCAACGGGGATGCCTGGGCTATGTCTTTCAAGTTCTGTAACCTGAATAAAAGGACGTTGGACAGCTACATTAAAAGATATAGATCGAGTTAAATGCAGTGGAAAGAACAGAGCATGGCAAGACCAGGGTGCCGGTGTCAGCAAAGGGGCCTTTCCACCGAAACTAAATATTAACTGTACCTAATATTTTGATCAGTATGCTGATTTCCAAGACTCCATTTCCTCGTATTTAAAATGAGGTCATTACTGTTCACCCTACCTACTTTCTTTTTTCTACATAGAGATGCTATTCAGCTTAAGTCAAATAAAGCAAAAAAACAAAAAACAAAAACAAAAAAACCTGAATAGTTGGTTTTTGGAGAAAAAACACACACACATTCTGTAGAAGAGAGAAATCATTTTTTACAAAATATTAAAAAGTCCCACTACCTCCCTCGCATATTGACTCCCAAGCCACAACTATGTAAAGAATAAATAGCACGTGGATAGGTAAACAAACCCAACAGCACTGAAGGGAAGGACAGAGACATGTCCTCATCTGAAGCAAGGAAACACTGGTGTTCATCAGCACTTGTGCATTTGCTGCCATGTATGAAAGTGTGAGAACCATGGACTTAGAATCCTATCTTGGTGATTCAGAGGCTTTACTGCACAAGGTCTGATTAATGTCAAGGAGAAATGAAGAAATCTCATAAGATCTTCAAGATGCAACAATACAAGAATCACACCTTTAGTAAAGAGAATTTAATTTCTAGCTAATACTCTAGACCAGGGGTCCTCAAACTACGGCCCGCGGGCCACATGCGGCCCGCCGAAAACATTTATCCGGCCCGCCAGGTGTTTTTGCCGCCGCTGCCTGTCCTGCTTAGCAGCCAACTCATCCCGGGCCCGCAGTGCCCATGTGTGGAATGTCTGAGGGACAGTGAACTGGCCTCCTATTTAAAAAGTTTGAGGACCTCTGCAGGTTCACACAGCAAAAGGTAACTCTGATCTCCTCTATCTTCTGGCATTGTTCTTAAAATTACGGAAAAGAACAATTTAACTTATGCTAACCATTCAGAGGCAAAGGATTAACCCTGCCTGCTTCACAGAAAAACACACTGTAACTCTCAGCAATTTGGGAATCATGCTACGGACACAGTAACCATCCATGAGGACCTCACTGTTGCTCCTGTTCATCCTGGTCCATTAAACCACTGAGAAGAGAGTCATCGTAAGAGCTGCAACTATCAACACATTTCAAACAAATGCTTTGGTTTTCAAACTGAGGAATCTGACTTACCAGGTCAAAAATGAATGTGTGTTTTTTTTAAAAAAATCCTTTTGCTCTCTGACTAGCAGAAAACTGACATATGAGTAAGCTTTATTTCTGTGAAGTCAATGATTTGTCCTCTATGATAAAGCACCCGGAAGGTTACATTTTACAGAAGCTGAAGAAAGCAGTCTCATCAACTATTTATTATGGAACACAGGAGCAAACATGTTCAATGAATGAATACATTTATCTTTGTTCTGTATTTTTAGGCTCCTTTGAAGAGGTAAGGAGTGAGGGGAAATGGAATAGTGCAATGAAATGTGAGCTTTTTCCAATTTTTTGTTTTGATGAACTTTTTCTAAGTCCAAGTATGTGTTTTAATTTATCATTGCCCTCAGCAGAAATTTTAAGTGTCCTAGCACATGGACAAATGGCTGCCAGTTTGTTCCCCGGTCCCCTTGCACACTTTGATCCCATACACTACACAGGTGTAGCAGAGAACTGATGGCTAGTCAGGTATTGTGGTCACTGCCAGTCACTTTCTTAGTGGAGGATTTATTCCAGACTCCCTCACCTTTTTCCTACAACAGGACCTTCTTTCTCAACATTATTTCTTTTTAATTATTCTTATCCATGAGTATTATTTAAAGGGAAAAAACACAAGAATATCTTAGAGTTACTTATTCATGAACCACTACTATTTAAAGCTTACTTAAACATTCCAGCGATGATTCAGTTGAAAAGACTTAAGTTCACCTACAAGCTTGATATGCAGTTCTATCTGTGGCCCCCACATCTTATGACTCTGTTGTGACTAGCTCACATCATTCTGTGTTAGTAATTCCTCCTTCCTTTTTTATGCAATCTTTAGGCACGATGTGCATCCATGATTACTACAGACTGTGTAAGCCTCCTCCTTCAGGCTGTTATTTAAAGTTCAACTCCATCATTATTAGGGAAAAAAAAAGAAAGAGGGAAAAGATGGTAAAGAAAAAGACTGGGTGGCACAGATAATCAAATCATTACTCATCAGTGCTAAAATTCCATGTTCTTAGTTCTTCATCATAGAAGAATGTGTGGGTTGATGTCAAGCCAGTAGTTTCTACCTATTGGGCTAGATTGAACCACTCTCAGACATGCTCAGCAATTCTGAACCTTCTGTTCATGTCATTTCTGAAGTGAAGATCTTGTTTGAGGCCTCAGTGATTATCATATATTTTCACTTATGAAAGCTCTATCATTTTCTAAATGAGATTTATATCTGCTTTCCACTAATGGTTATGTTTTGCCAAAACTATTAGCCCCCATGCCCTTTGCTGCCTAAGCACTTAGAGCTGTTTTATAGCTAGAAATGCCCAATAATTCCTGGTGCCTTGGCCTTGATTCTGTTTCCCATTATTGCTCCAATATTACCTTCTTGTCCTGACTCTTAAGTTCCAAACAACCTCTTCCTTATCCTAGTAAGGTGGCATATTGGCCTTGTTAAACAAAACCCACCCTGTGCCTCACTATTTCTGGGGAGTATTTCTTGTTTTTCTGTTTCATGCTAATTCCTCCCTCTGCAAGTCCAGCTATTCCTCCCGTGGGCCCCTGGCCTCTGCCAACCAAAAGGATCACAGGACGTAATTAAATGTTTCCAATTATGAAGATTTTGCCATTAAACGAGGTTGAAAGGACAGTGGCGTTTTCAGTGTGTGGTAGGTTAGAAGCAGGGCAAAGAGAAACAGCAAAGGAGCCTAAACAAGACTCGAGCTCGGGAAGTCTGGTGTGAAGAACACTTGTGAGATACCAGCCAGGAGCCAACGAAATCACGGCTCTGTCCTCACCGTTCGCTTTCTCTGGCTTCTGCGACCGTTTAGATGTTTCAAAAAGCTTTCCTGACAATATTTAAATCTGCAACGTGGACACACCGAGCGGGGCGACAGGAACGTCTTGTCAGTCCCGTACAGGAGCCTGTGGCTTCCCTCGTGTGTGTGCTGCACGCTGCTGAAACCAGGAAATCAGAAAGACTGATGCGTTTCCAGGGAATACACGCAGTGTCTCGCCTTGCCAAACACATCAAAGCAATTTGTTTTTGCCAGAGAGACTCCGGTGGCTCCCCGCAATGACTCAGCTCACTTATTTAAAATCCTAACCGGGTATGTTAGGAGCTTGTAGGTCACTAACCTGCCAGCCTGGTAATTTACACTGCTGGAGAACAAGTCGGCATTTCTCCTCAGCAGACAGCTTCTTCTTCTCGCCGGGGAGTGTCTCCACCAAGGGCTTAAACCTGTGAAAAGCAGCAGGGACATGAAAGTGGTGACTGGATTCATCAAGCCAGTGATTATAAGCAACAGAACTGTCTTTGTTACACTGTTTCTTAGCCCCCATCCCCCCACTCCCAGTTCCACGTGTCCCCATATACTCCATTCATTGTGCCTTTAACAGGCAACGGTGCAATAACACATCTTTTACATGGAAAATGATGTTTTAAATGAATCAAATATATTGTTCAATCTTTTAATGTATGTTTAACACTAGCATGGAGTGATGCAAACCATGTAGCAAAAAAGGAGAGGAAGAAAAAGAAGGAGGAGGAGGAGGAGGAGGAGGAGGAGGAGGAGGAGGAGGAGGAGGAGGAGGAGGAGGAGGAGGAGGAGGAGGAGGAGGAGGAGGAGGAGGAGGAGAAGAAGAGGAGAAGAGAAGAAGAAGAAGAAGAAGAAGAAGAAGAAGAAGAAGAAGAAGAAGAAGAAGAAGAAGAAGGAGAAGAAGGAGAAGAAGGAGAAGAAGAAGGGAATCTGTTAGTTTTTGCTTAACTATTTAGAATGATATTAAAAAATAGAGCTTTTAGGAAACACCAGCATACTTTATGCCCATTTGAGAGTGCATCTTGACGTAGTTAGAATCTGTAATAAAGGAATATCAAAGCACCCGGAATTATTGAGCAGAACAGCTTTCTCCCCACATATTACATAATCGAGTATTTGAAATCTTTCAGCAGGACATTGTATTATGTCCTGGAAGTTTCTTTAAATTATTATCTTTCATTCCCTAGCTGAAATGCTTGCCAATATAATAGTTTGCTATGGATGTATTAAAAAAATACTGCTTTCAAAATTACATCATCAATATAAAAATTTTTTGCACTTATGGTATGGAACCCGACATACAAGTTAAACTGCATTAGAAGGAGGAAGAGGAAGAAGGGGAGGGGGAGGAAAAGGAGGAAGAGAATAAGAAAAAGGAATAGGACCAGCAAGAGTAGGAGGAGGAAAGAAAAGGAGCGGGGAGAGTAGGAGGGAGAGGAGAAGGAAGAAGAGGAGGAGAAAGAGCAGGAAGGGGAAGAGGAGGAGGAGGATGGGCAGAAGAAACAAGGGAAGGTCTGTGTAAGTGCATCCTCTTCTACTGTGTATGTATGGCTCTCATGTGGGACTGCTAACGGAACTCAGTGCTAAAGGGTAAATCACCTACTTTTCTTTTCTTTTCTGTAGACTATCTTAGCATTTCATCTAAATTTTGCTGCAGCAAATTTGGCATCTTCTAAAAGGAGTGTTTTTGTTTCCTCAAGGCAACTAAGGAGGGAAGTACATTGCCTACACATCTCTATTTTCCCCCTTCCCCGAGCCAGCACTGAGAGCAGTGGCCATGTCCCACCAATAGCCACAGCGGATTCACACGCATCTCCTTATTTCGGCAAGTGCTGTAGAGAAACGAGGTCCCAGCGTGCGAGCCAGCGCTGCAGTAGCTAGGGTTCTGGCCTATAATGCAGACTGCGAAAATATACCTATTTGACTTGTTCAGCAGCAGACGTTTATTTCCTTTCTTACATCCTGAGCATTGTCACTGAACACTCAGTACAGATGCTCCTCCACTTATGATGAGGTTATGTTCCAATAAACCGACTGTAAATTAAAAATATCTGAAGTTGAAATGCATTTAATACACGTAACCTAGGGAACATCATAGCTTCGCCTAGCCTGCCTTGAACGTGCTCAGAAAGCTGACATTAGCCTACAGTTGGGCAAAATCATCTCACACAATGAATACACCGTAGAGTGTTGATGGTTTGTGCTCACGATCATGTGGTTGACTGGGAACTGAGGCTCACTGCCACGTCCCAGCATCATGAGAGAATCTAGGGCATACCCATGGCCTGGGAAAAGATCAAAATTCAACATCAGAAGTTCGGTTTCTACGGAATGGGTATATGTGTAGCTCCATCATAAAATCAACCAATTTTAGGCCAAAGCATCAGAAGTCAGTGATTGTCTCTCTATTATTTGTTCCGGGTTGAGAATTGTCATAGTCTTCCTAATCTTGACTCAGATAAAATAAATACATCAACATCTGCAATACCCTTCCTTTTCCTGTATAGATTTTTGCTCTTGTGTCAAATTTGGGGTACAGAAAGGAGTAAAAATAGCAAGTAACAGAGACTGAACATGAAATTGTAGTGCCAGAGGCAAGGATATAAAAATCCTGCGCATCCTTTTGATCAAACTGAGTGGACTGAGATGATCTATGGATGACAGAAGCATTCAGTGGATTTTTTTTTTTTTAATAATAGGCAAGAATGTGATTTCATACCCAGCAGGCACTGAAGTTGGTAGCTATTTTTTTTTTTTTTACTGGCCATATTATGATTGCTGCAGAAGAGAAAGATGTATTTCAAGGGTGGAACAGAGAGAACAAGTGGGTCTAATGGAGTATGTGTGTGTTTGTGGAGGGTTGGGACGTGAAAGTAAAGTGTGCAGAGAGCAGTGGGATGGATGCCTAAACGTTATGGGCATCCCCAAACGATGCTGGTGCATGACTTCAGCAAACATGGATTTTATTTCACAATGTTTGGTCCAAGGATGACAAACCATATAATTGTACAATGTGTTAGACTAGGAAAGAAACTGGGTTGGGAAATCTAAACACAGCTTCAGGTTCCAAATATGTAGCAAATTTCCTATGAGGCCCTTGTCAAGCCACTTAGCAAGTACTTCTCCCCTTTCTTACTGTATGTGTATTTCTTGGGATACGACACAAATACTAGACTATTCCTGTCAGTCTTCAATGTGTGTGAGCTTCCCTAAAGCAGGGGTCATCTTTGTACCTTCCATTGTGTCTGCTCCATTGTTTTTGTATGAAGCAGGTACACATAAATGATGCTAGGAAATTGAGCTGGGAATTTAAGGGATGAGAAGTAACATTTCTTGAGCACTGAAGGAGTACAAGGGGCTTTTCATATATTACTCCACATGCTCCTCATCACTGTAGCAGGTCTGCATGATAATCTGATAGTGAGAAAGCTGATGATCACATAAATTCAGTTGCTCTAGTTCACACAGATGGGTATAGGTTGAATTGTTTCCCCCCCACCACCACCACCACCACCCCAAGACCTAATTTGGAAGTTGGATTTTTGCAGATGTAATCAAGGTAAGATGAGGTCATTAACGGGTGGGCCCTTATCCAATATGACTATCTATACTAATAAAAGGGTAATATGCTAATTAGACCAAGAGACCTTCTGGACGTACTTCCAGACAAAGCCATGGTGGCAGGGTGGTTAGGGGAGAGTAGGCTGGCAGGGGGGGGCAGTTGTGGGCAAGCGGGCCAGTGGGGGGAGAGCAGTTGGGGGTGAGCAGGCTGGCAGAGGTAGGGCAGTTAAGGGCAAGCAGGCCAGTGGGGGGGCAGTTGGGGGTGAGCAAGCCGGTGTTGGGGGAGCAGTTGGGGGGGGGAGCAGGCCAGCGAGGGGGCAGTTGGGGGCAATCAGACTGGCAGGGAGGGCAATTGGGGGTGATCAGGCCAGCAGGGGTGGCAGTTGGGGGCAATCAGGATGGCAGCGGGAGCAGTTAGGGGTGATCAGACTGGAAGGGGGTGCAGTTGGGGGTGATCAGGCCAGCAGGCAGAATGGTTAGAGGCAATCAGGCAGGCAGACAGGTGAGCAGTTAGAAGCCAGCTCTCCTGGATTGCAAAATGGATGTCCGACTGCCAGTAGGCCTGGGATCGGGCCTAAACCGTCAGTTGGACATCCCCTGAGGGATCCCAGATTGGAGAGGGTGCAGGCCAGGCTGAGGGACACCACCACCATCACCCCCTATGCACAAATTTTGTGCATCAGGCTACTAGTGTACTTATAAGAAGAGGAAAATGACATGTGATGACAGAGGCAGAAGTTGGATATGAGCTGCAAGGCAAGAACACCAAGGATTTTAGGCCACCACCAGAAGCTAAAAGAGGATAGGGGGGATTCTACCCAGAGCCTCAGAGGGGCATATGGCCTGCTGACACATTGGTTTTGGACTTCCAGCCTTTAGAACTGTGAGATAATATGTTCTATTCTCTTAAGCTACCTGGTTTGTGGTACTTTGTTAAGGCAGCTTGAGGGCACTTATACAGATGGTAAAAGTGGTTGATCTTGGATTTGAACCCAGGACAAGCTAACTTCCAGAGGCAATTTCTCCATGACCATTGCTACAGTCTAGGCAGAAATGAACAAGCCCCCAGTGCTAGATGGTTCTAGTAAGGAAAAGGAGCATGAAAAACAAAAAAAATATAAAACCCAATAGTAATCATCAGGACTGGGACATGCAGAAATAATTTGTTGCTCTTTGACCTTTGGGTGACTGGACCTCTCCTATAAGAGTCAATCAGAACTTATAATGAAATACAGACCCATTCAAGCTTAGGAAAATCAATGCATTTCTTCCATTTAGCCAGAGCTACATAATGAAAAGAAATCAGTCAAATTATCTTTTTGTTCTCCTATAATTGTTTCATTTTGGAACTTTGTTAATTATCACCGAGAATTGAATTGACAATAATTCAAGTATCTGAATACAGTATTAACAAGTCAGAAAAAAAATTCTTACCCTTGATGCCTTTTTTCTCATTTTATATTGTTCTTTTGACACCTAAAATGGTATAATTCTGACATTTCAACCGAAAAGACAAAAACGTCATCTTAGACAGGGTAAGGCATTCTATTTTAGTGTAATTAAAATCACCTCATCTTTTGGAATGTGAGTGTCATCTGTAGGTGGTGTCCCTGGTCTAACGCTGTGCTAAACTTAACCTCACAGAAACTCCATCTGAGGCCAAATGGTAATACGGAGCCTGGAGCACTATATGGTCCTGAGCACGGGTGTGGTCACAGGTAGGACTTCTCAGCTCTCATCCCCACACACTCCAAGCCTCTTTTGTTCAAGATAAAAACACCACAACTCACTGAAGAACTCTGTGTTCAGGCTGACATCTGCCCTGTGTCCAAGATAAGTCAACTGACGGTAAGAAATAAAT